CCTTGTCCTACTTGCTCCTGAAACATCATCATTTGTAATGAGCGATATGTCTCCAGTGAACAAAGTGGTGCGAGATGCATCTGGGATTGCAGGTGCTCAAATAGCATGGAGTCTTGATCTGCTTGAACGGCTCCGTCTAGGCAACTAGGAGAGTGGGCGGTGGCCAATCAGCAGCTAATGGTCCTAATGTTTAGATTGAAATATTGCATTCAACATTTTGGAAGTTCTCGCATTTCTCACTAATGGTCGATTCAGGCAAAAGATGCTCTGATTTTTTTTCTCAATCTACCTCAGTGAAAATTTCCAATACATTTGGTAGCCATGAAAGTGGACAGCCCAAAATTTCACGGTCAAATGCGGTACGTGTCCTTGAAAGTACGCATGCCTTCACGACATGGTCAGCCGATGTGTCCTTGACCACCACAGGACCGTAAAAGTTATTACGTCTCATTTTAGTTTCCATATCAGTGACTGCTGCCTTGAATCATTTCCAATATATAACCTTAAGAACAAACATTGTATTTGGGTGTGAACGATGCTTGCAGTATAAAAGTCAAAATATGAGACTGATTCATGGCATTTATTGACATATTAACCTCATTTAAATGAAAAGATGACGCCGAGCTTGGATATGACCGAATGAAAGTGAAAAATAGCAATGTTTTCTATATGAGTCGTTGATACGCAGGTGTCACCCGTGTAATGCGTTGGTAATCAAAAAGAAAACAACAGAAAATGTGGTTTTATGTAAAGCTCACAATATGGTATAAAGTTAGTGCCTGCGTCAATGACCCTGTATAGGGCAGGGCAACACCTATTTCAAATCTGGTCTTGGAAGAGTTATGGGTAAGTTGACATACTCAGACGAACGATCGTATACATTTTATCGCAAGATATTTGTTTACCGGGTGAGAATCCAGTACTTGTTTCATCACTTGGCAGTCCTGCATTCTGCACTGTGTATTTTTTACCACTTAAACCTAATTGATAACTGTTCCAAATAAATCATTACTGACTCGAGCTATTTCCGTTCTAATGAACTGAATAACAAATCCTTCTTTTCGGGAATAAACCGTATGGCAAAAAAGAATTTTAACGGTGCTTCTCGGTTTCATAGAAAATTAATGCTGTCAACTTCTCCTGACCTGTAGCTAAGGTGTCACTTTGCTGTGCAAGGGAGAAATTTCCTATTCATTGCTTAGTCGTTAGGGCGGCGACCAGGAATCTAGAGATTCCACGGTTAGGCAAGTGGCATTTCTTCCCTTAGAGATAGATAAATGAGTAGCACGTCTTTGGAAGGATAGAAATGACCGTATGTTGCGGTGGTCACTAAGCTGCGGATACGGCTTAACAGAAAACAAAGCACTCCTGAGTGATGATACAGAAACAGAGGCATACACCATAAGCTTATTGAAATAAGGGTGCCACATAAATATATAACGTAGAATGATGAATCTTATGGGAGACTAAAGCCCCAACGGTAATAAATTTACCTACTTTCCGATTCTCATAAACAATATTTGCTCTAAAGGTATAAGAAACGAACGCACCTACCACTGCTTCGTTAGAGGTTCACTTTCAAATTTATGACATACCTTCACGGGCACCTTTCTTAACAGCATAGAAGAAAGCAGCTAACAGTATTTGACCGTGGTATAATGTGATACAGACTTGGTGAATGACCTTATAGTCAGAGGTAGTCCTTATAAGGTGCTGAAAAATGCCACCTACGGTGCGGATTCTGTCGCAGAATTCAGCTTGAGCCGTACTGTGGCACCTCATTAATCATACTAAGTGCGGAAAGGCCAAAACGGAACGAACTTTTGTGCTGAAACAGGTCATGACTTCTCAACTCAGGCACAGAGAGTGAATACCTCATCGGGCGTACGACACCAGCTCCTAATTTGGCAACGACGGATGGAAGACGGTTAGCGATCCAGTTTCACGAACATTGGCTGGCTATGACATTGTCGCCTCTCTTGGTCAGGGATTCGCGGATGAGCCCTGTGGCCCCAGTTAACAAGGGGGGGTTTCTTTTCTCTCTCATCCGAAGGTAACAGAATATATAAGGGTGCTTTCCGACAGCACAAGGGTTTGTTTACCCAAGTGGGCTCGCGGATCTTCGAACAATTTAACTCCCTCTCCCTCAACGGACAGAGGTCATAGTTCGTAGGCGCGTTGATTCCGATATGAGCCACTTGCTTAGAGGACGATGATGAGTTGTTTTCTCTGTCATATAACTCAGTACCTTCGATGCTGTCCTCATTTGGTGATGAGAATATTTAGATTGGATTATGAAGATCCATAATAATCACTGAGTACGAAATGCCCGTGAGAAACGAAAAGACGATCTATTTACGCATAACGCAAACAGTTTGGTCAACCAGATGTACCGACGCTTTAGCCGGGTCTCTAGGCTTTTCTCAGAGTTGAGAGGTTGGATGAACCACGTCGCTGAAAAACTCCTTAACCGGCAGAACGGATCGAAAGGTTGCCTTCCGGCTCTGACCTTATCAACCGCTGCGAATGACAAAAAATCCTTCCGGTCGCTTTGTCTCTTGATGAAGTCCAGTGATCCAACACGTCCAAACGTCTGTGCTGGTCAGTCAGTGATTGACCATAGTGTTTGCGTTTTTATAAATCCTAATTAATGGTGTTTCTATTGTAACCACCAAGACACGAACCAAATCCTCAATCTTCAGATACATAATGTCGATCAAATATTTGCTGAGCATTTTCTACTTATTCCAATCGGCATACGTACCTATTATTTCGTTGAAATATTTTGCAGCAACGGCGTAGGAGATCTAAATTAAAAGAAAGGATATTAAATATGGAAAGAATCTTCCAAAATGCATATAGGAAATTTACGCACAACAACCATATTTCGCACATTAATTTCTGTCACATCTTTAAGAACATGAAGGCCGTGATTCATTTTACGTCAATCATTAAGTCTGTCAGTAATTTTACATATATATATATGCATAACATTTACGTCATAGATTTCGTCGCAGACTGATATGGATAGCCTTTTACCTTTATGGAATACAA